ATACTGATGATACCTCATCCCTTGGTGGTGGATAATCTCACCCAGTGGTTTCATGTAAATGTTGAAAAGGAGCAGAGTAAGTACCAAACCCTGTGGCCCCCCCATAATGGAAGTGTTGCTGGCTGGGCCTCTTGCTCCCAGTCAATATCAGCTGGGATCACCCTTGGAGGAAGGAAGAGAATCAGCACAAAACTGTGCCCCCAACTCCTACTTTGACCCAAAAGGATATTATAGTTGATGGTATTGAAAGCTGCTGAGAAGTGAAGAAGAACATGGATGGATGCACTCCCCCCATAGCACTCCCCCCAGAGATCATCCATGAGTGCAACCAATGGAATTTCTATCCTGAATCCAGGCTTGAAACCTGACTGAAAAGGGTCCAGGTAATCTGCTTCCTCCAGGATCCTCTGGAGCTGCAATGCCATCACCTTCTCAACCACCTTCCCTAAAAACGGGAGGTGAGAGACTGGATGAAAATTGTCCAATATGGCGGGATGCAGTGATTGTTTCTTGAGGAGGGGATACACCAGCACCTCTTTAAAGGCAGCTGGGAATACTCCCTCCCTCAAGGATGAATTCCCTATTGCCTGGAGCCACCCACATGTCACCTCCTGAGTAGCCTTAACTACCTTGGTCCTCCTAGAGTTTAATGTGAGACTCTTTCTCCCAATCATTCCCTTGCAGACTCCAAATTTAGTTAAATATTACTGGACTAGCAATATTAGATGGCAAAGTAAATTGAATTGCCCAGTTTAACTGATGAGCTCAATCTATGGTTTGGCGCAAACAAAGACTTGATTCCTCTTCCCTTATAACTGGTAACTTTCACTGGCATGAGAAGGGAAGGGAACAAGGCAAAATTTTGCCCTTTTGGTTTTCTTCCCTAATAACCCTTATTCCGAGGAAAGGAAACCGATGGACAATATCTTGCATCCAGTGTCCTGCAGTTACCCACATGTATCTAAAACAGGTGAACTGAAAATACATTTCCAACCATGAAGGAGAGAGGTGTGCTTACACATTCAAAAGTCTAATGCAAAGGTAGAAAAATTCCTGTTTCTATTTGTATCTGGAATAAATTTATTAAGAAATTATAGAAAGTATGAATGAAACTTTATACTTTAAAATGAGAGAGCACAAAATAATGAAAATCTCAGATTTTTTTCCCTGTACAATAATTTCTGAATGAGTTTTCATGAAATGAATTTTCATGACTATTTTTGTGCAAAAGAAAAGAGACACAATCAGCAAGGTGATAATGTTCCACACTATAGCCTGAAGTCCAGGAGCTCCCTTCAACTGGAACAAATGTCAAGATAACAGGGAAAATCTATTTCTGAGGACAAGTTTGCTAACAGCCATTGACCCATACTTTTACTGAACCAAAGTTATAGATGTCATTCAAATACCCCATCAGCAGGATATTTAAAAGAGCTGAACTTTTTTCAAGGGAGTATAATTTAAAAATTTTATTTTATTTTTTTGGGGGAGGGTACATAGGACATATTGAGATTAGCAATGAGCATTTATTGTGCTATCACTTTTTTTTTCTATTATTATTTTTCTGCAACAGGGTAATATTGTAGATTAATGTGGGGCTTCCAAATCAATCTTCCCCACCATATGTACCTTAAACAGGTTTCAGTCAATTCTTGCCTAATGGGATGAATGAGAAGACAGGGGTTATGGGAGACCCAGATTTGTGTAAGGGTCAATTTATTGAACTATGATTGGGAAGTCACATGATCAACTCCACTCTGAGATAGAAAACCTCACTGTGTGGCTCAGAGTCACTCACTCTTTTATCAAAGAGCAAATTACCTCAATATATTATTTGTGCTGGTATTACAAGTAAGAGAACAGGTGGGATAACAATTTAGTAGTATAAATCAATAAATAAAATCAGCAAATTTGACTAATGCCAGTTTTGGAAAATTAGAAATTGCAATTCTGATACTGAACTATCATGTAAGGAATGTCTTTCCAGGATTTCTTTTCACTAGAAAGTGAAAATCTTTTTCTTAACAATTCTTTTCATTGCCGTCTTAACCTCCTGATTTCTTAAAGTATAGATAAGTGGGTTTAAAACTGGGGTAACTGCACTGTATATGAGGGTTAATATAATCTCCCGTTGTGATGAGGTTCTCACAGTGGGAAGCATGTAATTAACCAACACAGGAACATAGAGTAAAGCCACCACGGTCAGGTGGGATCCACAAGTGGAGAAAGCTTTTTGCCGACCACATTGGGACTGTACTTTGAAGAGAAGGAAAGTAATAATGTAGAGATAGGAAATTACCGTGATGATAAAAGGGCCCATAGCAACAGAACTAGTCACAGTATTGAGAAGCATGAGGTTGAGGTATGTGCTGCCACAGGCCAGTTTTAACAAAGGCTTGATGTCACAGAAAAAGTGCTCAACATGATTTGGTCCACAGAAGGGAAGGCGAGCAGTCAGCACTGCATGCATCAAGGCATGGAGAAACCCAGTGGACCAGGCAGCTGCTGCCATCAGGAGATAAACCTCTCTTCTCATGATGACAGTGTAATGCAAAGGTTTACATATTGCAACATAGCGATCATAGGCCATGACTCCAAGGAGAATGACTTCACTGCTCCCCAAGAAGTGGAAAAAATGCAGCTGGATCATGCAGCCCTTAAAGGAAATTATGTGCAGTTCTGAAAAAAATCCAGCCAGCATTTTGGGAACGGTGACGGTGGAGTAGAAGATGTCAAGGCAGGAAAGATTTCCAAGGAAAAAGTACATGGGAGTTTGAAGGAGTGGTTCAGTTAAAACAACAGCAATTATAGCACCGTTCCCCACTAATATGGCCAAATATAAGAGCAGGAAGACTGTAAACAGTACATTCTGAAGTTTGAAGAGGTTGGTCAATCCCATTAAGATGAATTCATTCACCTCTGTTTGGTTCTCCATCACTTAAAATGGAAAAAGAATATGACAGATAAATAAGATGTTAAGTTATACATAACTAAGAACACTAAATATTTATCTACCCAAACTGAATCCAACTTCTGATCATGACAGAAAGATAATATTGGGACACAGAGATCTGGATAAGTAAGGGCACAATTTTATTCATTCAGTCACAGTGATACAGCTACAGTGGCAAAAACCATACATGCATCATAAATGTATGTTTACAAAGTGTGAACCTGACTCTGCCTACCATATAGAGATAGTAGAATGATGATTAAAAGAATAAGAATGACTTCCTGAATTCTCTCCTTTGAATTTCAATCTTCTACATGATTATTGAATTAAGGTCCCTAGGGTTTACTTTCCCTTTTTCAAATTACAAAGTTCTAGGTCACCAAATTCTGGCATGAGCTGTCATTTTAAATGTGCCTCCAGGTGTTCATATAGATGCTCTCTTCAGTGTCGCATCCACACTTTCTGCCCCTAGAGAAGAAAAGTCTGTCCTACCTGTTATCACATGCCACAGATTATCTCTCCCCAGAAGATGATCTCTAAGGAAACTGTTGTTTATTCAGACAAGTGGATGCTATTATACTGATAAAGATATAATAATTAGAAACAGGCTGTCGACACTGAAGCAATTTGATTAGATTGTTTTCTTAAAAGAAAGGAAGAAAAACATGGAAATAACAATGCTGTTTTATACAATAGGATAAATCTAGGCTGTACATACAGTATGATTCATCAGATACACATTCTTGTTTTTCAACCTGTCCTGCAGGATTATGCCATAGAATATTGATGGTACATCATCATAGATGCCAGCTGTTACCTCTGTTTCCAAGCTTCTTCTTCCCAGAGTTCTCCTGGCTGTTTCTAAAAGTTCCCATTTTGCCACTCAATATCGTCCTCCCTTCCTTCTTCTACAAAAATGATTTCTCATCAGAATCTAAAGTAATACTCTGCATGAATTCCTTACCAGCAAAATTGTCAGTATGTATGTATGGATATGAGAAGAGGCAGCAAATTGCTGTGGCCAAGAGCAGGCCATCACCGGTATGGTGAGGCATTATCTTTAACAATAGATGACTTTTATTGGTCTGGGCCTGTAATTAGTAACTTTGTAAGAATTCCCTTGCTTTTTTGGATTTAGCTTGGTCTAAGATGCTGATCTCCTTCATGGATCTCTGCCTTATCTTGGCAAAGGGGCTTGTGTAACTCAGTGAAGCCATGAGCTATGCTGTGCAGGGCCACCCAAGACAGACAGGTCATGGCAGAGATTTCTGACAAAATGTGGTCCACTGGAGAAGGAAATGGCAACCCACTCCAGTATCCTTGCCAAGAAACCCCCATGGACAATATCAAAAGGCTAAAAGATATGATGCTGGAAGATGAGCCCCTCAGGTGGGAAGGTGTCCAATATGCTACTGGAGAAGAGTAGAGGGCAATTCCAAGTACCTTCAGAAAGAGTGAAGTGGCTGGGCCAAAGCAGAAAGGACGCTCAGTCATGGATGTATCTGGAAGTGGAAAGAAGGTCCAGTGCTGTAAAAAACAATATTACATAGGAACCTGGAATGTAAGGCAATCTGGATGTGGTCCATCATGAGATGACAAGATTGAACATCGACATCTTGGGAATCAGTGAATTAAAATGGACGGGAATGGGTGAATTTAATACAGGTGACCATTATATCTACTACTGTGGGCAAGAAACCCTTACAAGAAATGGAGTAACCCTTATAGTCAATAAGAGAATGGGAAAGGCAGTAATGGGGTGCAACCTCAAAAATGACAGAATGACCTCAGTGCAAATCCAAGGCAAACCATTTAATATCACAGTAATCCAAGTCTATGCCCCAACCGCTGACACCAAAGAAGCTGAAGTTGACCCATTCTATGAAGATCTACAGCACCCTCTAGAACTGGCACCAAAAAAAGATGTCCTTTTCATCATAGGGGATTGGAATGCTAAAGTAGGGAATCAAGAAATAATTGGAATAACAGGCAAGTTTGCCCTTGGAGTATAAAATGAAGCAGGGAAGAGGCTAATAGAGTTTTGTCAAGAGAACAAGCTGGTCATAACAAACACTCTTTTCCAACAACACAAGATATGACTCTACACATGGACATCACCAGATGGTCAATACTGAAACCCAATTGATTATGTACTTTGCAGCCAAAGATGAAGAAGTTCTATACAGGGAAACATAGGGAAAGCATAGGGAACATAGGGAAAACCACTAGACCATTTAGGTATGACTTAGATCATATTCCTTGTGAGTACACAGTGAATGTGATGAATAGATTTAGGGGATTAGGTTTGGTAGACAGAGTGCCTGAAGAACTATGGACGG